ATATAATTAAGAGATACCAATTAAACAGTTTCTATATTTATAGCTTGATTATATTCTTCAAGTTGTACAAACATTCTCATCCACTTTTCTCTCCTTAATGTAAACTCATTGCCCTCAAGGGTTCCTATCTTATCTTTCATGTTGCTGTTGCCAATTTGCTTCCATTTAAATAGACCTTAAAAGAGCATAATGCTCAGGCCAGACATTTTTTATTACTTAAACTAAAAGTATTGTTTGATTTTTAAGAAGACTTCAGGGCAGATTTTGGTTTAAAGTTTAAGGTTATTTGGGGACAGTAGTTTTCAAGGAACATTTATCCTCTTTGGCTCTAGAAATCTGGATTCTGTAAGAATGTTATATTTTGTAATTCTGTTTAATAGCCTGGAATCAAAATTATATTTGCTTCGTTACTAATATAAACTTTCTAAGTTCTGTACAGTTCTTGCTTTTCAACTTTACCACTGTGTAACAAGGAACAAGCAAATTAGCATTGTGATGGGAATCCCAGTGATGCTGCTTCATGGTCCCTAGAATCCTAGAATGCAAGGATTCTAGCTTGGAATTTAACTAAAGTTCCTCACTGAGTGAATGTAGGCTTAGAGAGCTGCGAGGTAAGGCTTAGCTCAGCTTTCCCCAAGGACTCCCACAGAATTCTTCCACGCATTGCCATCAGAATTCAGATTATGGAGTTGATTCCTGGAAAACTACAACTGTGCACCGCCCGCCCTCCTCTCTCCCTCTCTCTAGCTCCCAGAAGATGATTTTTCTGAAAGTTAGGAATTACCTATGGGCAGCAAGGAATGACTTTGAGGCATCACGGAAGATGATATCAGGGGGCAAAGATGGTGAAGTTTCATCTTTTCTACTATGGACACGTAGCTAGGTGAGGCTGTTCATTGGAAAGGGACATCAGGTTTGCAAAGATAGGGCATCAGGAAAGGAGAGAAAGACCTGCAATGAAATTGAGTTAGCAAAGGTGTAACACATTCACATGCTGGCTTCTCTGTGGCACCCCAAAATTAGGCCAAGAGCATAAGCCCAGGACAGAGTCAGAGGAAAATCCAAGCCTTTTCCTTATTTAATTACCCACTCTACTGTTGGGGCAGATCAGGGAAGTGGGTGCGGCCACACTGGGAAAGCCAATTGAGTCTCATCACAGAGATGCTACTGGGCTCATCCAATCACCTAGCATCAGTTTTCTTTAGATGCTAGTAGTGGTCGATACAGTAAAGGTAACACCCTTCAGGGTGATGTCATCACTCTTTGCTGTGTACTAGAATTCTGACAACTTCTCAGACTCAGAAAAGTCATGAAGATAAAGATGAGAAGAAATAACCTGAGTCTGTCCTTTGGAATGATTTCAACTAGCTGTTTACTTTGTAATGATTCCAGTGCTGAGTCTTGTCTTCCCCCTTGTGTATCTTATTCCTCCCAACTGTGGTATCTTCATTCCTCTCTGAAGCTCAGTACTTCTTCCTCTGCCTCCTTACATTTTTTAAAATTGGTTTTTGTTAGATACTTCTATTGTTCCGTGGTCAGTGTTAACTCTTTAGTTATTATACTAAGATAATGCCCCTAAAACTCTTTAGTGCCTGGCACATAACAAGTGTGGGGCATGCACACTCATTAGCTCGTGGCATAGCTCATTTTCATTCTCTCAGTGACTCTTGTGAGTTACCCTCATCTTGCAGAAAAGGAAATGAAACTCAGATGGCATTGTGTCATTTGGCGAGGTTCACATGGTAAGTAATTGACAGAACCATTTAAGAGCTTTGGAGTAACTATGTATCTCTGCACCCACTGTAATCTGAGCTGCTTGGTGACGAATTGTTTTGGTTTTGTATGTTGTGTCTTGAAAGTTGGGTTCTAGCTTGGATAGGATCTGTAGAGTGGGATCAGCCTCGGATTTCTTCTCACTGGGCAGCACAGATATGGCATCATTACCTCTGAGCACTTTCTCTGTGCTTCAGCCCCTGTGCAGTGCTTTACACCCACCCATTTCCTCTTGAAACTGGCTTGTGCAATGATGCTACTCCTTTTTTTTTTTTTTGGTTTTCACAAACAGGAGTTTATTTTCTCAGAGTATTCAGGGCACAGGCAGCAGAGGAAGGCTTTCTGTCAGAAGTAGAAGAAGGCCTTTGTCTCCTCTGATCTTCTGTTCCCAGACAATCTTCATGTGCTTTGCATCTCTCTCTCTCTTTTTTTTTTTTTGCTACTTCTAAGGCTCAGAGACATTAATTACCCAAGTCACATCACCAGAAGGTGGCAATCAGAACTCAAACCCAGATTAGCCTGATTCCATGGCCCTGGCTTCTCTTTCTTTCTTTTTTTTAAATTTTAGTGGAGATTTGATTAAGGTTAATCTCTGAGAATCAGAGATTCTCACGTAAGGGCATAAAAGCCCAGGAAGCCTCCTCAGATCTCATAAGGAACCACTGGCTCAGGCTCTCTGTTAGGATCATTGCTTACTTCCAGGTACAGATTGTTCTAAGGACACTGCTCTGGCCCCAGTGACTAACAGGAGAGGTTTTTGTTGCTGTTGTTAGGTGCTGCTGAGTTGAGTACAAGTCATAGCAATCCTTTAAACAGCAGATCTGAATCACATCCTTTCCTGTGCCATCTTCATACTTCCTGATACTCTAGAGTCCCTTGCAGCAGTCACCATGTCAATCCGCCTTGTTGAGGGTCTTCCTTTCTGTTGCTGACCCTCCACACTTCCAAGCATCATGTCCCTTTCCAAGGAATAGCCCCTCCTAGTAGCATGCCCAAAGAATTTGAGGCGAAGCCTCATCATCCTTACCTCCAAAAAGCACTCTGGCTGCAGCCTCTCCAAAACATATTTGTTCTTTCAGCAGTCCATGTTCAGTGTTCTTCTCCAACACCACAGCCCAAAGGCATCAGTTCTTCTGTCATCCGTACTCATTGTCCAGCAATCAAATGCATAGCATGTGATCAGAAAGACAAATGGCCTGAATCAGGCATGCCTTTGTCCTCAAACTGTAATCATTACTCCTCAAAAATTTGGAGAGGTCCCTAACTGCAGACTTTCCCAGTGCTATGTTTCTCCTTATTTCCTGACTTCTGGTAATAAGGGTTGTTAATTGTACATCCAATAAGATGATATTGTTGACAGTTTCAATCTCTTCTCTATCCATGATGATGTTACTCAGTGGTCCAGAGGTAAAAATTTTTGTTTCCTTGACATTGAGATCCAAGTAAGATGATGTTGTTGATAGTTTCAGTCTCTTCTACATCCCTGATGATGTTGTCCATCAGTCCAGGGGTAAGAATCTTTGCTTCCTTGACATTGAGATCCAATCCATATTAAAGGCTGCATTATTTGATCTTCTGAAACAAGTGCTTGGAGTCCTCCTCCCTTTCAGCAAGCAAGGTTGT